GATATCAAAAAAGTACTCCAGAGTGTTGTTCAGCATGGGGGTGAGTAGAAAATGAAGGCTAATCATGTTTTGGGTGTACTATTCCTTTAATGAACAAACAGAAGCCAATGGAACATGGCGGGTGTGGCACAAATGCTAAACAAGGGCTGCAGGAGAGTGGGGGAGTATTTAACTGCTACAAATCATTAACTGAGGGTTGGCTTAAAGCAATTAGCCTTGCAAAGTGTGAAAGCATTAAAAAGGTAGTTTGTAACTGAAACACTGCCTGCATAGATATGTTTCATATTTTTTGTGCAAGAGCTGCAGGGATCCATGTTGATTTGTATCAATATGTAAGGAAAAAGTGTAAACGAAAAGGATTATCTCAAACAGTGATTAATATATATTTACATCTGAGGAAACATATTTTGTTTTGCTGTACGTTTAAAAAAATGTCTGTCCCCTCAGTAAGCAGGACAGGAACTAAGGTACGATTAATTTACACTGTCACTCCCTCTAATGTGAACATGACTCAAGGGTAGGGCTACCCTTTACTGCTCTACTGCTGTGAGTGGATGCATGGTGCTCCCTGTGGGGTAAGAAGGGCAAATAAATCATTTCAAATAACTTTGTTTTTCTAAAAATCAGTCAGCATTACAGACAAAATTCTAATGATGAGATAGATTTCTAGCTAAACACTGATACATGCTATAGGGCAGCTGTTGTTCCTCCTTTAAAAGAGAATAAAGACGAGTCATTTCTTTAACAGAATCCACGTTAGGCGTCAACGAATGAAACGCCTGTAAAAACCAGCACACGCCGCTGACCTTCCACCACCTCTGCGTGTTGTGAGCCGTTCTCCCAGAGGACCAGATGGAGGGGAGCGACTGTAAGCAGAGGACAGATGTTCCACAAGACCCTGGGTGAGTTCATTTACCCGTGCGTGTCTGAGAGCGCACATGTGACCGGAAAGGAAATGAATTGAATGCCTGCGTGTCGAAAATTAACCCAAAGGATGTGAGAGTGTATTGAAACCCTTCTGGTCTGAGCTCCTGCTACTGTTTTAAGCACAGTTCTTCCACTGTATGCAGTGGAATTAACTCAGAAAGTTTGATTCTAAGGCTGACAGCATGGTGGTGGACTGATGATGCTGTGGGCTTGTTTTACAACTAGCAATGCATCAACAGTGAGTCTAATGGGAGGTTTGTTCCAAAGGGGATCATCAATGGGACACTGAGGACACAGCTGTAAAACAAGGTTCTGAAAAGAAAAGAAACAAATCCCTTTAAATCTTAAACTGATAAAGTTGAAGAATGACTATACGGAAACTGTTGCGTGGTTTGTTTGGGCTATTCTTAGTCCGATTTAGATTTATTCAAAATCAGATCTTTATAATTTATCACAGATAATTAAATCTGATATTTAAAACCCTGCAATTGAAAGAGGAGGGATTTATTTACTACTACTGTACAAACTGAACTACCAGTCCATTTACACTAAGGAATAATAAATAATCATCCTGAAAATTATATAATTGTATTATATATTGTATTGTATAATAATCATACTTTGAAATGTAAAGTGTCCCATTAGGCTGAGTATTATTTGCAGTTTGGAAGCAAAGGAGAAGGAAAAATAGTATCTAAATTTGCATATTAGACTTTTATGTTTCTTTAAATTTCTTTAAAAAAGAAAGCAACTGATGAAAGAAAGAGTTATGAGAAGTCATATCCATAAGGTGGGCCATAAAAGGGACTCTTTAATTATGTGAAAAATGTGCTTTTTAACAAGTCATCCCTACAGTTAAACATAGTAGTGGCAGTACCACACTGTGGGTGTGTTTTCCAACTACATGTGCACTGGTTAGAGTTGGTGTTAAAATGGATGGAGACAAAAACCAGTTAATGTTGAAAGAAAAACTATTGGAAAACTTAACAGAATTCAGATTAAAACAGAAGTTGATGGTTAAACATGACGAGAACCCTAAATATGCAGCCAGAACAACACTGAAATTGATTGGATTTAGCTAAATCATATGTTTAAAAGTCCATATGAAAGTTTAGAATGTAATCCAAAATGAAGCATTCTCCAAACTGTGTCGTTATTTGAGAAATCATATGCAAAAACCCTCTTAAATATGTTTTTCCAAAAAAAAAAAAACGATCTACTTATTTACTTACTAACTTACTAACCAGCTTTTATAAAGTAGCCCAACAAAGCCTTGTTTTTGTTTTGAAAACATGCAAATTGGAACAGACAAAGGGCTCCGCCCCCTTTTGAATGGGGGTCGTTTGGCTTCTATTGTTAGCCTGCAATGCCCCATACCTGTCTAAGTGTCTGGAAAAAGTGTCTTAAAAGTGGAAGCAAAGGAGAAGGAAAATAGTATCTAAATTTGCACATTAGGCTTTTATTGGCCAGAGTCAAAACAAAAGAAGCCAAACGACCCCCATCCGAAGGGGGTGGAGCCCTTTGTCCGTTCCAATTTGCATTTTTCAAAAGAAAAACAAGGCTTTGTTGGGCTACTGTATAAAAGCTTGAACTCAAAGCTATTCGTGACATTTTGAATTCAGAAAGCTTCCTGGATTGAAAGCGAAACGTCTTCAAACTTGGAAACACAGCCCAGAAGATTGTTTTTAATTTTCTTTTTTTAATTTTTTTTTATGACTATGACCTGGATGTTGGAGAATCTTCACCAGCATCTTAAATATGCACAGCAAGGATTCTTCACCTTGTTGGTTTAAATAGAGGATTTAAAAAGAAATATATGCCACACTTCAGATATATTTTCTTTCCTAATAAGAGAAACATTATTTTACTTTACATATATGAATACTTTGTGTTGGTCGAAAATCCCAATTAAAAGGCATTGAAGTTTGTGGTGGTAACATTAAAAAACAAGAAAAGAAAACTTTATAAAATTTAATAAACCATTATAAAGACATATTAAGTGAGATCAATTGTGAAAGATGTGCTAGGAATATTTAAAGATTAAACAAAAAAAAATTTAAACATTATTAACATTTCTTATGAAAAGACAAAGACAGAGAGTAGGAGGTCTGTAAAATAGCTAGCACCTACACAGGATGCATTATTCTAAAGCTAGACTGGCAGAGGTATTTGAGAATGTGGGTGAAAATTGTAAGAGATGTCATAGTGCTCCTGGAACTTTAACACATATGTTTTGGTCATGGCCATCCTTGAACTCATTTTGGTTTGGAGTGTATAAAACGATATCTGAAATCATAGGAATAGAATGTCAGCCTAATATGTACATTTCCATTTTTGGAACAATACCACTTGATCGTATGGGTATCTCTAGGTTCAAAGATATAACAGCCTTGTCAACTTTGATAGGTAGAACAAAAATTCTTTTACACTGGAAATCTCTATTTTGGTATCCACAACCCTACTTTAGTTCTAAGCTCTGCTCAAGAAGAGATCATTGCCTTCTCATCTTTACTGGCAAACCGTACTTTACTTTTAGACTGGAAGTCTGATAAATGTCCCTCAATATTGCTCTAGGTTAAAGACTTGATGTTTTTTTTTCGGAAGCTTAAAGGAAAATTCCGGTTTTTAACACTTTTAGCCCATTTTCTGTAGTGTCCAGGATGAAATCGAATGATCGACACCAAAATTTTGACGATTGGTCCTGTCTCT